GTGAAGGGTGGGGAAGCCAGCCGAGGTCAAGTCCCAGAAAACCCAAAGCCGCGGAAATCTCCCGGAAAGAGCCTGGGGAGAGGGGGAAGGGGAATGCTGCTACTTAAAACTTTGCCCGGGCCCAGTGTTGGGGTTTGGGGGAAGGGTGGGAGATTGGAGGGGGAAAGGAGCAGAAAAAATAAACCCCAGAGCGCTGCTGGCGACTCAGAGGGAAACGCGACTACTATAGGCCCATGGGCGAAAACTTCGGGTTGATGGGAGATGGAAGGAAGAGCTGCACGTTTCAGCCATCTCAAGTGGTATGCTCCTGCACAGGTCCTGGGGCGAAACAGCCGCGCCGCCGCGAGGATCCTACCTGAATCTGTCCTTTCGGCTTCATCAGTGGCTCCAAAACTTTCCTGCTAACTGCACGCGCCTCCTGGGGTGTTCCCGTTCCTTAGGATGGCGGCTTCCCGTCTGTCCAAAGTGGGACGGAATCACCACCGTCCACTCTGCTGCCCACTTACAGGCTCTTAATTTAAACAGGAACGAAGAACTGGGAGGAAACCAGCCAATTCGCTTTAGGGCTCAGGCTCTACTTGTGCATCGGTCCTCCGGGGCTCCTCGCATCGGCCTCGCTGGGTCTCCCAGCAGTTGCAGGCCAGCCTCCCCTACTTCCCACCCCTGTCTTGGTTTCTCCGCATTTCAAAGGGTGCTGCTAGCGCTGAGTTCCCCCTTTCTCTCTACTTTGTAACCCAGTCCCCAAACTCGCGGCTACCCTAGATCCCTTCCCGCCAGGGGGCGCCCTGACTATAGGGGCTCTGACTATAACCTGGGACAAGTTGACTCTAGGTTGAAATATGTGACATGAAAATAGGCAAGTTCCGAGACCACAGGCGTCCACCTCTTGGAAGGCTTGACCTGACAGAGGAAAGGGTTCTTCGACACCAAAGGCCGGAGGGTGGACTCTCCTCCTCTCTGGGCGGACTCTGGCCTTCACACACACCACCTCATCTGCCACTCCAACCCCAGAGCGCGCCAGTGCACCGAGAGGGCGACACTGGAGCACTACTCTCAGACGTCCTAGCGTCGCCTCCCACCCCCACCCCCACCCCCAGGGCCTGCCCAGAGGCCGTGGTTTGAGGAGAGCGTCCGCAAAAGGAAGGTGGCCGTCAAAGACCCTAGACGCTCAAGACAGGACCGGGAACAGCAGAGGGAGCGCGCTGAGCTCCGAATCTGTTCCTGGAACAGCGCCTGCGAAAGCCTTCTGGGGAAAGCCGCCCTACTGCAGGCCCCGGGCTTCGCGCAGATCTTCCAGAGGCTCTCAAGTCTGGTGCCTGGGGAAAAGGCGCAGCGGGTTCCGGTGAGATCCTTCAGGGAGAGAAAGACGCCTTCCAGATGGGGCTCCGGATTCTGTTCCTTGGATCTCGGGACTGGGGAACAGCGACGCCCCACCCCCCACCCCCCACCGCCCCGGGCCTGGCTGCCTTCCTGTTTTCCTTTCCCTGGGTGGAGTTGCCTCGACGGCACCCGGGAGCCCAGCTCAGCCAGGCTCGGGAGACTGCGCCCGGCTGAGGAAGGCTAGCCCACCGCCGGCCTGTGCGCAGAACAGCCAAGGGCCCAGAGAGCTTCGTGCAGTTAGAGGCCTGGAGTCACAGTTTCTATAAACTCAAGATAGAGAACCATAAGTAATAACCCCTTCCATTTGCTAGCGATTTTTGTGCTTTACAGACTCATGCACACGATCTCATCCTTAAATACTTGGATCCCTAGTACAACCTGGGAGGTACACAAAGGAGATTATGACAATTTTTGGTTTGGTTTGGTTTGGTTTGCCGCTCAGGAATCAGGTGCTAAAAGGTTTTGTTTCCTTAATTCAACATTTCTTGAGGCACTGGAAGATTGAAGGATAAATAAAACAGGGTTTCACTGTAAAGGAGGGAGGCCAGTAAACAACACCATAGTTTTCTGATTTCTACTCAAGTGCTCTGCCTACCACCCCTGAGCATTTTAAGATCAGAAATGGTGAAGAACCTTCCCCCCTCCCTGCTACACACACACACACACACACACACCCCTTCATCAAAACCTTCTCTATCTCAGCTGGATCCCAGAGTAACATTGCCACAGAGTAACTACATGCATATTATTTGGGTGATTTATTGTTAATTTATAAGCTCTGTGTGGGTAAGAGCCACATCTAGCTTGTTTAAAACTGAATTTTTAGGCCCAGCACAGAGCCTGGCACAGAGTCAGCACTCAATAAATATTTGTTGAATAAATCACGAATTGCGATGAAACTCAGAGCAAAATACCAGCACCAGGGAACATGGTCTCTCACCGTCCTCGAAGAGGTGTGAAGGACCATGAAGAGAACTAGAAAAATGTGGTGGTGAGGACTGGGGAGGACTTTTCATTCCTCTCGCAGTCCAAGCGACAGGCCCTGAAGTCATACAGCTTTCTGTATGAGACCTCTGTTCTAAATTCTCAAAGAAGTGACTCTGGAGGGACAGAAAGACGTTTCCCTTCGGCCACACAGGTGGTGAGCAAAGGTTGATGGCAGTTCTGCTCGTCCCCCACCCGGCCTGGGCCTGAGCCTGAGCCTCCGGGGCTCCTTAGATTCCAGACCAAGCGGCAGAGAGCAAAGCAGTGTGGCGGGGATTGAGGTGGGCGCCTGCGGCCCCACCAGGGAAAGCTCCTTGAGAAACCTGAACTGGGCCCCGCTGCGACCACTCGGCTCGGGAGAGTTACTGAAGACGCAAGGGTCCTACAGGGGGGAACTCCGGGTTCCCAAGTATTCCCTGCAGCCGTGAAGACATTACTAGTTTAACGGGGGTTGCCCTACTTAAGATGACTCTGGGAGGCAGCTAAAAGAAAGGACACTCCTTGGTTAGGAAGAGGTGTTGGGGCCAGGGGAGGGACTCTCAAGGCCTCTGCTTGATCAAGCTCAGAGACTGAGGTATCAGTCTTCCTACCCCCACCCCTCCCGCTAGACGTTTTAGTCACATCTGGCAAAGAGTGTGGGGCGGTGTGTGTGTGTGTGTGAGAGAGAGAGAGAGAGAGAGAAAGGGGCAGAGGTAGAAGGGGGGCTGGGGGCGGGCGCCGCAAGGTGCCGCACAGGCCCAGGTGAGGTCTAGTCCAGAGCTGGGGCGGGTGCGCCCGCCTGCGGAGGGAGGTGGCCGCACGATCTGTTGGGGGGGGGAGGGGTTGGGTGGAGCAGCAGCCGTAGCCCGGCGCCGCCCCCACCCCCCAACCCCAGCTCGGGCATCTGCTCTCGGCGGTGACTGAACGCCTGCTGTGTGGCTGGGGGTCACGGTCTGGTCTGCAAGCCTTGGGCGGTGGCGTGGGGGGGGCAGGTGGGGAGCTGCTAGCCACGTGCGCCGGAGCCTGCTGCGGGGCTGGAAAGCTGGAACTCTGCCGAGGACGAAGGCCGAGGCTCAGGGACTGCGCAAGATGCACCTAACTCTCCCCTTCAGTCAGATTCAAGGCCTTAAAGGCAGGGCAGGGTGGTGGGTGTACGAATGACGACAATACAGAAATCTCGAGCTCTGGCAATGGAATTAACAATTTTCCAAAGCTTTCAAAGCGCTTTTATGGGCCCGATCTTATTTGAATCTCAGAGAAACCTTGTGAGGAATGACCTCCATTTCTAAATGGCATTGAGACTGGGAGAGACGTACAACATTCTATACTTGGTGTTTCTTATACTTACCAATAATATGAAATAATGGAGAGGGAGAAAGAGAAAGAAGACAGGGGATTGGGAAACCCACCCCACCTTGTCATGAAGACCCCAGTCAAAACACAGCCCAGGGGCTAGGGCCGCCTGCAAACAAGATCCGTATTCAGTTTTGTCCGCTCTCCTCGACGGTTCACTTGAACCCAGCGTCGTCTTCCCTCCTTGCTCCCTGGGCTTTGACATCACATCCACCAAAGCTCAGTTGGAGTCTGAGTCTTCCTGAGAGCGCCCCCCAGAGAAGCCCCCCGGTAAAAGGGCAAGGAACCGTCTTGGGGCTTGTCCTTCGCGGTACAACCGACAAGCAGGTCTGGGTGCCCAAATGCAAGGTTGCCTGCCCCAAAGCCGCCAAGGGGGATGCGTGAAAACGTGGGCCCATGCAGGAGGAAGAGGGTGCCCTGGGCTTTCTCTCCTCTGTTAAGCGACATAGGTGGTGAGGAAAGCGAATGTTAGTATAGAAGTTGCCTTTGTATTGAGGGAGTACAGAGCACTTCTCAAGGAGAGAACTGAAATGTTACAATAACAAGCCAATAAACAAAACAACTTTCCCTTACTACAACTGCTGTTAATGGGAAAGGCGCCTAACCTGCTGAATTAAATTGTTCAAAAGTGCCTGTTCATCATTGGGAGCTCCTTCTGTACAAGGAGGGGAAGGAAAATGTGAAAACAAAAAACAAATTCGAGAAGCCTCCTTAATCGGCCCCCGCAGTGTCTTGGAGGCCCCAGCCGGGCCAGGGAGAGCTCCACCCTCCCAGCCCCTATCCCAGAGAGGAGGCTTTTTAGCCAAAGAAAAACCAAACCAAACCAACAACAAAACGTTTAGAATCCAAGGGGGGAAAGTCTGAGTGGGTCTCGGGATCTGCGCCACGCAGGGCGCGACACTGTAGTCCACTGGACGGGAGGCCGGGGCCTGGCCGGAGCAGCACGGCGGGTGCCTCTGGCCCGGCTGGGGAGCGAAAGCCCACAGCTCCCCCTCTCCAGGCGCCCAAGGACCCTCAAGGCGCGGGGCTCACACTTGAAGCCTGGGAACGCGCAGACAGGAAACCCACTTCCTCCTAAGCAGTTTCTTGCTCGCCGGATGAGAGGCGCCCAATTGAAGCAGAATGATCCTCATCTACTAATATCCAGCGTGGCCACAAAGCGACTGGCCATTTACGCCGCCACTTTAAACAAAGATATTTGGTTATTCCCGGGGAAGCAAGTGCACTTTTGCATGGCTGAGCTCCGGGCGGAGGCGAGCCTCAGCCCAGCCTCCCGCCTGCTGGGCTGCTCGCGCCTTGGGATTCGCCCCCTCCCGGCCAGCTGGTCCCGCCGGGGTTCAGGCTCAGTTCCGCCCGGCAACAGGCGGGCGGGTACTCACGACGCTCCCTGCCCGCGCCCTCCCTGAAGCATCAGAGGGGGAAAACAGCGTGGCCCTGGGCTCGGGTGCTGGGACTCTGATGTCCTCGGAAAGTCAGCTCCAGCCCCAGAACCCCGCGTGTCCGGGCGATGGGCGAGGGTCGGGGACACCAGGTTTGTTCGAGGTGGGGCAACTTCAGCAATGGCCCTTCGGGTTAGTGCCCCCCAGCTTCCCAGCACTAGCGGCCAGTAGTGTGCTTGCCTTGGCCGGGAATGGGGGTGGGGAGAGGGAGCCGCGTGTGGGTTGGGGGGGGCGTGATGTAGGGGGCCCTGGACCGCTGAGAAGACCCTGAGGTGGGGGGAGGGGGACGCGGGGATCTGGGACAGCCTCTCGGAGGCAGCCGATCCCTTGCTCAGCGTCCCCTCCGCCCGCTGGGATTCTCTCTCGGGTAGGGGGAAAGGGGGCGGGGAGCAGAGGTGTCCCTCTGACGGCGGCAGAAGAGGCAGACAGACGGACAGACACGCAGACCAACAGTGCGGCCCCAGGGTTCGTCCCCAGACTCGTGAGCTCGTTTGGTGGCGACTGGGGCTCGGCGCCGCGAAACCCGATGTGGTCCGGAGGCAGTGGGAAGGCGCGGGGCTGGGAGGCCGCGGCGGGAGGGAGGAGCAGCCCCAGCAGGCTCAGGTGAAACCCCTACCCTGTCCCTTGGCCCCCTCCCTCTAAAGACTTGTCCCCGCCCGGGAACCCCGGCTGTATTGGAAAGTGGTTCACTTTGTAACTCCGAAAGTTGGTTGCAAAGCAGCATTCACCTTCCTTCCTCCCCACCATCCCTCCTCCTCGGCTACTCCTCACCCCACCTCTTGCCCTCCCCTCTCTCGGTTCCCTCCTCCTTTCCCTCCCCCCCCCGTCTCCCCCCGCGCGCCGCCCGCACCCCACAAAAAATGGGGTGGGGGTGTCCGGGGAGCGGGGGAAAGAAATGCTTTGGGTCGCGTCTCTGCCTCTCTCTCTCTCTCTCCCTCTTTGAGACCTAAAAATCTTGACAAGTGAAACTTAAAGGTGTTTACCTTGTCATCAGCATGTAAGCTAATTATCTCGGGCAAGATGTAGGCTTCTATTGTCCTGTTGCTTTAGCGCTTACGCCCCGCCTCTGGTGGCTGCCTAAAACCTGGCGCCGGGCTAAAACAAACGCGAGGCAGCCCCCGAGCCTCCACTCAAGCCAATTAAGGCGGACTCGGTCCACTCGGTTACGTGTACATCCAACAAGATCGGCGTTAAGGTAACACCAGAATATTTGGCAAAGGGAGAAAAAAAAAAAAAAAAGCAGCGAGGCTTCGCCTTCCCCCTCTCCCTTTTTTTTCCTCCTCTTCCTTCCTCCTCCAGCCGCCGCCGAATCATGTCGATGAGTCCAAAGCACACGACTCCGTTCTCAGTGTCTGACATCTTGAGTCCCCTGGAGGAAAGCTACAAGAAAGTGGGCATGGAGGGCGGCGGCCTCGGGGCTCCGCTGGCGGCTTACAGGCAGGGCCAGGCGGCTCCGCCGGCCGCGGCCATGCAGCAGCACGCCGTGGGGCACCACGGCGCCGTCACGGCCGCCTACCACATGACGGCGGCGGGGGTGCCCCAGCTCTCGCACTCCGCCGTGGGGGGCTACTGCAACGGCAACCTGGGCAACATGAGCGAGCTGCCGCCGTACCAGGACACCATGCGGAACAGCGCCTCGGGCCCCGGATGGTACGGCGCCAACCCAGACCCGCGCTTCCCCGCCAGTAAGTGAGGCCGCCCCACTGCCGGGCCGCGGGCTGAGCACGGGAGGCGCGGGGAGAGCAGCCCAGCAGGCGCAGCGCCTGCCGGCTGCGCACCGGGCGTCAGGGTGGGCGGCCCGGAAGCCGCGCCAGGGAGTAGGGTGCGGGAGCTGGGGATTCTTCCCTCTGCTGGACTGAGGGGTCCCAGAAGAGACACTTGGTAACGCTGGGGTCTTGCGGGCAGGTGCTAGTATTCGGCGTCTCCCAGATGCGGCCGACTGGCAGCTCTGCTCGGCTCAGGAGACCTCAGAGTGCCCAGGGATCGCCCTCCCACCCCCCCCCAAAAAAAACTAAGGGAGCTGGGGGCAAGCAGGGAGCAGAGAGGTGCGGCCTGGCCGGGCGGGAGGCTGCCCTACTGCGACGCGCTGAGGGGACCCGCCCGGCTGGCTCTCCAGTCCAGGCAGGTGGAAGGGCGCGCGGCTTCAGAGGGGGCTCTAAATGGGCCGAGCAAGCGCCCTCACTGGGGCTGACAGGAGAGAGCGGCCAAGAGGCAAAGCGTCTGGGACTTTAGCTTTCGAAGGTGAACACCCCACTCTCCCAAACTCCCAAAGTTGGGGTCTACGGCGGGACCCCAGCTCTTGGTCTGGGCCCAGTTCGCCGCCTGTGGCCCGCTCACCCAACGACTCTGGCCAGGGTTGGGCAAGAAAGGACCAGAAGCGGCCTTTCTCCACTTTGCTTTTGGGCTGGAGCCCTGTGACTGAGGGAGGCAACCGGGGTTGAGGTGGGGAGCTTTCCAGCAAATCCCTCGACGGCACGGCCTGGGGCAGGCGCTAACTCTCCTTGGAACTTAGGCCTCTCAGGGCGGAGGCGGCCTAGGTGAGGAGGGCGCCGTCGGGGTGGGCCGGGCCGGCCAAGGGCGCGGAAGGCCGAGGTGGCCTGGCCCGGCCCGGTCCCCGCCGACGCTGTGCGTTTGTCGCTTACAGTCTCCCGCTTCATGGGCCCAGCGAGCGGCATGAACATGAGCGGCATGGGCGGCCTGGGCTCGCTGGGGGACGTGAGCAAGAACATGGCCCCGCTGCCAAGCGCACCACGCCGGAAGCGCCGGGTGCTCTTCTCCCAGGCTCAGGTGTACGAGCTGGAGCGACGCTTCAAGCAACAGAAGTACCTGTCGGCGCCCGAGCGGGAGCACCTGGCCAGCATGATCCACCTGACGCCCACGCAGGTCAAGATCTGGTTCCAGAACCACCGCTACAAGATGAAGCGCCAAGCCAAGGACAAGGCGGCACAACAGCAACTGCAGCAGGACAGCGGCGGCGGCGGCGGCGGCGGGGGCGGGGGCGCCGGGTGCCCGCAGCAGCAGCAAGCGTAGCCGTAGCCCCCCGCCGTGACGTAGCCGGCGGCGGCCGGCGAGGCCGCGTACGGGTACTGGTCGTAGGCGGCGGCGGCGGCGGCGGCGGCGGCGGCCGCCGAGTACTGGGCGTAGGCGGCGCCCGTGTAGTCGATGTAAGGGGTGGTGGAGGCGGCGGCGGCCGTGGGCTGCACGTGCGGGATGACCACGCCGGGCTGCACGAACGCCTGCGGGTACACGTAGTGGGCGGGGATCCTGCGGACAAACGGGACACCGAGTCAGGCGCCGCTGGCCCCCCTGGTCTGCAGCGCGGCTCGTTCAGAGATCAGACAGACTCAAATTTAGTGGTTATTACGAGCATAGGGTTGCCACAATATCTCCTCGCCAGGGGTCCGTCGGAGTGCTCTAGGCGGTAGCCGGATCACGGAGCGCCCCGAAAGGAATTCAGCGACAAAA